CCCCCCCCCCCCTGCAGCTGGCTCAGCTTCGGAAAAGTTCTGAAGTCATGGAAAGTTGGGGCTGTGCTCCCAGCCAGGGGCTGGGCCGGATGGCAGCCAAAACCTGAGCTGGGTTTTGACTTTATTTTTAGCTTTTCTGGCTGAGACGGAGGAGGGGAGACATCCTCCAGTTCTGGAAGGGCCTCTTTTCACGGGAGACAGACACTGTTGCTTGTTCCGAGGTGTGGCCAGAGGCCGGGAGCAGCAAGATTGTGGGGGAGGTCAGGGCCCCCTCCAGGTCTTCCCATCTTCCCCCCACCTCCGAGGGTGTCTCTGTGTCCCCCTCCTGGTGGAGCCTGTTTGAAAAGTCCTGAGCTGGTGGCAGGAGAGTGCTGCCTGTCTGGGCCCCTCCCTGCAGAGCCTCCTCAAGGCTGACCTCTGCCACTGCACCTTGTCACCATCACCCGTGTCACCGTCACCGCTGGGCCCCTTGGAGCTTAGGGCTTTTGCAGAGGCGAAAAATGCTGGCAGGGTCACTTTGCTTCTTCCCAGGACAGAAATGTCCCCTCCTGCCCACATTTGGTTCCTTTTTTTCCCTTCTGCCACGTGGGCCCACGCTTACAACACAGGAGTTACGGATGGCAGCCGGGGCCAGGCCCCCTGGGTCTTTCCCTGCACTCCCTGGGTCTCCTGCTTTCTCTCACCAGATGCTGGTGAGGTGATAATAACGTCTGGAAAGTTCTTGGGTTCCCCAGAAGTTTGGACCCCTCTCCTTCTCCAGTTCCGTATCTTTGGGGCCCAGAAAACGGAAGGAAATGGCAGAGGCATCCCCCGTTTATGTGTTTATTTGGCTAAAGCTTCACCCACTTTCAGGGCTGGAGCCCAAATGGGCCTGGAGGCTCAGGGGCCACATCTGGAGCCAGACGCTGAGGCTTGTGGCCGAAGGGTAGGGTTTAGTGTGCTCTCAAGCTCTGTAAGGCCTGGGGGGAAGGCAGCTGGACCCCCGTGCTTGGCCCCGGCCAGGGGACTCAGCCTGGGTCTGGAAAGGGAAGGGCCAGTACCGAGCCTAGTTGTCCTTATCCCTGACTTTTAACCGGACTTTCCCTCTGCACAGTCTCCGGGTGTAAAAGGGGCCAGGAGAGGTGACCAGTACCTTGGGGGCCCAAACTGAGAAGCTATAGGGATGCATGGACCCCAACACTGGGAGCCTGGTTGTCTGGGTCCCTGCAGGGAGGGAGGCGGAGTCAGGGAGGAGGAGGTTCAGGCCCTGTGTGGGAAGGGGCAGGAGACAAAGGTGGCCCTGTCTCTTTGGGAAGGAATGGGAGGAGAGGGAGGGAAAGCATTGCTCTCACGGGATTGCGCTTTCCCCTTGGCCCCGGGCACGTTCCTGAGCACTGAGTCATGGGAAGGGTGGAGAAGCAGGAAGGGGGTTTTGGGGACCTTGGGGGAAGTGGGAGTCCAGTCCCAGAGGCGGGCAGATGCTAACAAACCACAAGCAAGGATGCCCTCTCCTGGCAGTTGGAGGGACAGCCGAGCCCGGCCCCGGCTGGGCTGGCCGCCTAGGAGGTGGCTTCTGTCTCTCCGTGGGGGACCTGGCTCTCTCTAGGGATTCTAAAGCTACTCTTCCTTTGCTTCTTTAGCAATACCAAGAAGGAGGGCGACTTGATGGCCGCCCAGGCCCGCCTCAAGGACCTGGAGGCCCTGCTCAACTCCAAGGAGGCCGCCCTGAGCACCGCGCTCAGCGAGAAGCGCACCCTGGAGGGCGAGCTCCATGACCTGCGGGGCCAGGTGGCCAAGGTGAGGCCGCCCGCCAGGGCCCGCCATGACCCCTCCTCCCCCCAGAGAAGTACAGGCTCGCCCTACCCACCCTTTCACCCCAGTTGCTCTCCGAGGCACCTGTCTGTCCCGTTACACGGACAGGGCATCACGGCCATCTGCCCGCCCTGGTGCCATTTCACCCGCCCCCACCTCGCTGCGTCCTGCCCGTGCATCTGGCACAGCGGGTTTACGGTCGTCCACAGCTGGGGCGCCTGGCTGGGAGAACGTGCGACTCTTGATCTCGGAGTCACGAGTCAGAGCCTCATGTTGGGCATCTAGCTTATGTTAATAAATAAAGTAGTACGCAGACGTTTGCACGTAAGTCTGCAACAAACCGTGCCTGGCCCTGGATCCCTCCTGGTGTGGCTGTCCTGTAAGAGAGCGGAGGTCTCTGGAAGACCAAGCCAGCCTGAACTCAGCAGTGGATGGTCTATCACAGATGGGACGGGTGTTCTTGACGCTTGGCGTGTATATGGCTGTCTTTCCTTCCAAGGCACGTTGCTGTCTGTCCTGGGCTCTCGTCTCTCACATCGCAAGCTCAGAACAGAATCAAAGAAGCCGACTGGCTCCCGGTTCTGCCGCCTCACTGCTCAGAGCAGGGCCAGGACCAGGGTCAGGGGCCAGGCTCTCTGGGCTCGGCCCTCTGCCAGGCCCCGCCACCAGAGTGTGCCCAGCACACGGGAGACGCCAGTGGGTCGAGCACTAAGGCTGGGCTGGAGCCTTCTCCTCCAGGCCTCCTGCCGGCCCCTGCGCTGGCCAGTGGGCCTCTCGGAGACCAGAATCTGGGAGGGGTTCTCTGCCACTCAAACTTCAGAGATCTTTCTGTGGCAGAGAAGGGGGCATCTCTTCACGGTCCAGCCCCTGTCTTCCCGCGCAGCCGCTGTCCGTGTCGCCACCCCTGAGCCCTGTCGGCTCTGGCAGAACCGAGGACCCTGAAGCTCGCTGTGCCTCTGCGCCTCCAGGCCTTTACACGGGCCTTTGCCCCTGTGCTCAGGCAGTGTCCCCCTCTGCCCTGGGCACGTCCCAAGAGCCTGTCCTGCAGGCCTCAGCCCCCCGGAGGCCTTCCCAGACCCCCTCTACCACCCCAGGCGCACTGTGGTTCCAGCGTACTCTGGACGTGCGTCCTGTGGAGCGCTTGCTGTGTGTGGTGCCTCCTCTCGTTTCTTAGCGGGCGGTTCCGGCGGGTAAGGGGACCCCGTTCTGTCCGTGACGGCGGAGGCTGTCCGTCCCCCGGGCCTGTCCCTCACCTCTGCCTCCCCCCTCCCAGCTCGAGGCCGCCCTGGGTGAGGCCAAGAAACAGCTCCAGGACGAGATGCTGCGGCGGGTGGACGCGGAGAACAGGCTGCAGACCCTGAAGGAGGAGCTGGACTTCCAGAAGAACATCTACAGCGAGGTGGGGACTGTGCCCCGCCCGCCGGAGGGGCAGGGGGGCAGGGCTGGGGGCAGCTGTGGGCAGAGCTCGCCCGCCGGCCTCGTGCTGCCGGACGGGGAGTGCGGGGTGTCTGGCGCCCGGCCCCCAGGTTACGGCGGGGTGACGGTGGCCCCATCGGGGGTAGGACGGGACGGGGGGGGGGGGGGGGGCCCCCCCCCCCGGGCCCCCCCTTCCCCCGTGCGGGGGCGCGGCGGGGGGTGCGTGCCCCCCCCCCCCCCCAGGAGCTGCGAGAGACCAAGCGCCGCCACGAGACCCGGCTGGTGGAGATCGACAACGGCAAGCAGCGCGAGTTCGAGAGCCGGCTGGCGGACGCCCTGCAGGAGCTGCGGGCCCAGCACGAGGACCAGGTGGAGCAGTACAAGAAGGAGCTGGAGAAGACCTATTCTGCCAAGGTGCCTGCCCGCCCCCCGGGCCCCCGCCCTGCGCCCCCTGGGTCCCCCTCGGGTCCCCGCGGCCCTAACCCTGCGTCCTCCCCCGAAGCTGGATAACGCCAGGCAGTCGGCCGAGAGGAACAGCAACCTGGTGGGGGCCGCGCACGAGGAGCTGCAGCAGTCTCGTATCCGCATCGACAGCCTGTCGGCCCAGCTCAGCCAGCTGCAGAAGCAGGTGCCGCCCGCCTCGCCTCTCCACCCCCTCACCTCTACCCGCCTCGCTTCTATGCCGCCTCGCCTCTATCCTGCCTCTACCCCGCCTCACCTCTATCCCTCCTTGCCTCTACCTCGCCTCGCTTCTCCTTGCCTCACCTCTATACCACCTCGCCTCTCTCCTTGCCTCGCCTCTCTCCTGCCTCTACCCCACCTTGCCTCTACCCTACCTCGCCTCTACTCCACTTCACCTCTGTCCTGCCGCCGGGAGCCAGTGGCAGTGGTCGGGCGGGATGTAGGGCCCGGAGGAGGGGAGGGTAGAGGCGAGGGACAGAATGTGCCCCCAGGACCACGGACTGAGATGACCTGGCTGCTCCTCCAGGCCTCTTACGTCCCTGTGTGACCCTCACTCCCGAGAGCCTTGGTTTTCCGTTTGAAAACGGGGGCTGTATTTGCCCTGCACGAGGCTCAGTGTGCGGTCAAGCATCCGCCACCTCCCGGCTGGCCGTGCGTGTGGCCACGGGAGACAGGTTCCGGGCTCGGCACAGGGGTTTCACTTAGATGCGGGGAAGGGCTTCCCGGCCACCAGCCGCGCCACGTGACAGCCCCCTGCGGGCTCCGGTGCCTCGAGAACCTGGGGAGGGGGGCCCAGGGGCCGCGGGCGCTCACCGGACCCCGGCTCCCTCGCCCAGCTGGCCGCCAGGGAGGCGAAGCTGCGGGACCTGGAAGACTCGCTGGCCCGGGAGCGCGACACCAGCCGGCGGCTGCTGGCGGAGAAGGAGCGGGAGATGGCGGAGATGCGGGCGAGGATGCAGCAGCAGCTGGACGAGTACCAGGAGCTGCTGGACATCAAGCTGGCCCTGGACATGGAGATCCACGCCTACCGCAAGCTCCTGGAGGGCGAGGAGGAGAGGTGGGGCCGGGAGGGGCCGGGGCGGGGGGGGGTGAGGGGGGCAGAGGGGCGCCCCCCCCCCCCCACCAGCCGCCCACCTTGACGGGGCCCCTCTGTCCCCCTCGCCAGGCTGCGCCTGTCCCCCAGCCCCACCTCGCAGCGCAGCCGCGGCCGCGCCTCCTCGCACTCCTCCCAGACGCAGGGCTCGGGCAGCGTCACCAAGAAGCGCAAGCTGGAGGCCGCCGAGAGCAGGAGCAGCTTCTCACAGCACGCTCGCACCAGCGGGCGCGTGGCGGTGGAGGAGGTGGACGAGGAGGGCAAGTTCGTGCGGCTGCGCAACAAGTCCAGTGAGGTAGGTGCCCCCCCCCCCCCCCCCCCCCGGTCACCGCCCCCCCCCCCCCCCCCAGCCCCAGGCCCAAGGGCTCCAGCTCGGGGAGGGAGCAGACCCCAAGAAAGAGAGCGGCGCCCCTCCCAGAGGCACTCGGGGGCGGGCGTGTCCCTCCAGGGTGGGGAGCGGCTCCGAACTCGCCCCTGGCGGCCAGGCCCCCGTGAGCTATCTGACCCCTCTGAGCGCCCGAGATGAATAACAGCCCCTCGGTCTTTGAGTCGCTGGAAGCCGAGTGTCCAGTGTGCGCGGTCCTGCCTGGGCCCCTGAGCAAGGCGGACCAGGAGTCTGAATGAGCCTCCCCCCGCGTCCCCCTTCCCTTCCTTTCTGGCAGGACCAATCCATGGGCAATTGGCAGATCAAGCGCCAGAATGGAGATGACCCCTTGCTGACCTACCGCTTCCCACCAAAGTTCACCCTGAAGGCCGGGCAGGTGGTGACGGTGAGTGGCAGGCGTCTGGGACCCTGGGGCGGGTTGCGTGGGGGAGGGGTCAGCCTGAGGATGGGCACGCCGGACTGAGCACCTTCTCTAACCCTGCCCCCCTCCAGATCTGGGCTGCAGGAGCCGGGGCCACCCACAGCCCCCCTACCGACCTGGTGTGGAAGGCACAGAACACCTGGGGCTGCGGGAACAGCCTGCGCACGGCTCTCATCAACTCCACCGGGGAGGTGAGTGTGCCGCGGGCCGGCACAGGGCTGGACAGGGCCCCCCCTTGGTGGGCAGTACTGGAGCCGGGGGCACCCAACCCCAGGGAGCCAGTTCAAGGCCACTTCGCCCTAAGTCTCCCTCCGCTGCAACCCCAGGCGCCAAACTCTCCACCCAGTGCTCACACCTGAAGATGCCTCCCCCAGCAGCACGAGGGAAGGAAGGTGGGCAGTGAGGGCCATTACAGGCAGAAGCACACTCCTACCCAGAGAGCCTGGCAGTGCCCTCTGGGGAGAATAGCTCCTTGGCTTGCACCCCACAGAGGTCGGCAGCAGGCCGGACAAAGGGCACACCGTGGGAAAGGCTCTTTGGTGGCCACTGTGAGAGGATACACCACCCCGCTCCTGCCCCGACCCGCTAACCCTGGGGCCTGGCCCCGTGTCCCCGCAGGAGGTGGCCATGCGCAAGCTGGTGCGCTCAGTGACCGTGGTCGAGGACGACGAGGACGAGGACGGAGACGATCTGCTCCATCACCACCATGTGAGTGGCAGCCGCCGCTGAGGCCGAGCCCCCGCCGGGGCTCCCAGCCAGGCCTCCCCTTGCCAAAGATCTTTTCATTAAAGAACGTTCTGGAACTTCACGCGCTGCCCTGGCTTTTCTTCTCTCCTCCCTGTTCCTTGAGCAGGGAGCCCAGGTGTCTGGGAGGAGGGACTTCCTGACGCCACGGCGTCTTCCCACGGGAGCAGTGGACGGGGCTGTGGATTTGTCTCCCGGGACGGGGATGGGAGGACAGAAGTGGGGCACCCAGCCTGCCTCTCTCCCCAGCCCCTGCTGCATGCACCTCCTCCCCCCCCCCCCCCCCCCCTGGCCCCCGGGGCGGGGGTTGGGCGGGGGGGCCCCCCCCCCCCCCCCCACGCCATTTATTTTGCATGCCTGCCACCCAACAAGCTTGTTCACTGGCCCTCCCCTGTAAGCCCAGAGAGGCCGGGGCAGAGCCCAGCCAGAACCCCAGTTCCCTGTCCCCACGTCTTCCTGACCCCGTCTCTGCCTTTCCACGCCTTGCCCTCCTCCCAGCCGGGCCCTGCTCCGGGGGGGGGGGGGGGGGGGGGCCTGAGCACAGAACCCGCCTTCCTGCCTGGTGGCGGTGCCGCAGGAGCGCAGAGCCGGGTGCTGGGCCTGAGCGCTGTCCCAGACCCGCCGTCCCGCCTGAGCCTTGTCTTCCTCCTCAGGGCTCCCACTGCAGCAGCTCGGGGGACCCCGCCGAGTACAACCTGCGCTCACGCACCGTGCTGTGCGGGACGTGCGGGCAGCCTGCGGACAAGGCTTCCGCCAGCGGCTCGGGAGCCCAGGTGGGCGGAACCATCTCCTCTGGCTCTTCCGCCTCCAGTGTCACGGTCACCCGAAGCTACCGCAGTGTGGGGGGCAGTGGGGGGAGCGGCTTCGGGGACAGCCTGGTCACGCGCTCCTACCTCCTGGGCAACTCCAGCCCTCGAACCCAGGTGAGTTTGTCCCTCCGCCTCCACCCCTGCAAGCAGAGGACCCTGGTCCTTGAGGGTTAAGACGAGGGGGCCCTGTCGGGGGGGGAGGCCTTCTCTTCCGCAGCCCGGGGGAGCGGGAGCCTCCTCCCCTCAGCCCCAGATCCTAGACAGTGGGCTCCTGCATCCTGCCCCTCCCGTCTGAGCCCCAGACTGGAGGGCGGGGGCGGGGCCGGGGGCACCGGGAGGTCTTCCGGGGGAGTCCCCCCCCCACACCGTGGCTCACACCCGTCCCCTCTCTCTTCTCTCTCAGAGCCCCCAGAACTGCAGCATCATGTAATCTGGGACCTGCCAGGCCCGGGTGAGGGTGGAGACCTCCTGAGTCCTCCTCACCTCATGGCCACCCCCCGCCCTGCACCTCAGGGGAGGGGGCTTGAAGCCAAAGAAAATACCCCTTTGGTTTTGTCTTCTATGTTTCGTTTTTTTCTAAGAGAACTTATTTTCTACAGTGGTTTTATACTGAAGGAGAGACACAAGCAAAAAAAAAAAAAAAAAAAAAAAAAAAAGCTCTATCTCCACCCCCGTCCTTTCCCTGCTTCCGGGAAACTCACATCTGCCTTAAAACCAAAGAGGGCTTCCTCCAGAAGCCGAGGGAAAGGGATGCTTTTTACAGAGCCTAGTTTCTGCTTCTGCGCCCTGCTGCTGCCCCCACCCCGGGGACCCCACGAACATGGTGCCTGCGAGGCGGGTGTGGAGCCTTCTGGGCCGGCCTCCAAGGGAGAGGGGTGCTGAGCCGGGCCCCTCGGCCAGCCCCCTTCAGTCCACTACACCTGGCTGAGGCTCCTTGCCCACCCCGTCCCAGTCCCACCCCTGCCCCAGCCCCCGGGGGCGACTCATTCTGCCAGGTACCAGCCGCACTTGCTTTTTCTGTATTTTATTTAGACAAGAGATGGGAATGAGGTGGGAAAGAGGGGAAGGAAGGTTCTTTGAGCCTGCCTCACCTGGAAGCCAGAAGGAAGGGCTCTGCCCTGTTACTGGAGGTCAAGGTCAAGTGGGTGCAGGGGAGCAGGGAGAGGGGAGGGTTCGAGGAAGGGTGGGAGCCTGCCGTGGCCCCACCCCGGAGGAGGAAGGTGACAAGCGGTGGAGGGTGTGCGTCTGTGGGTTTGCAAACACTAAAGAGCCCCTTGCCCCCCCTTTCCCATCTGCACCCTTCTCTCTCCCCAAATCAATACACTAGTTGTTTCTATCCCTGGCTGCTGTGGTATCTGTCTCTGTTGACGGGCGTCACCGAGAGTTTGGAGGGGCAGACACACACGCACACACACATGTCGCGTGGTCACCCACATCCTCGTGCTCGGGACCCTCCAGCCTCACCCCTGCTCTGGGGGACGCGAGCTGAAGCCCTCAGAGCTTCGGATCCACACCTGGGTCCTCCGGTGCCTGGTGGGGAGAGGCTTTGACATCAGCAGGGCCCTGTCCCCAAGGACAGAGGGGTAGAGCCTGATGGAGGGCCCCGCCTTCCTAACCTCCTTCATCCGGTCAGCACCCACCTGAGAGCCTTCTGTCTGCCAGGCCCCGAGCTGCCTCGGGACCTGGGGCAAGGACAAACGGGGGGAGGGTGTAGGAGAGAGTGAGGGCAGCAGGACAGCATTGGGTCTGACTTTGCAAGCCAGCAGCTGAGGTCCCTTTGTGCTCAGCTTGGGGGCAGGGAGACAAACAGGACCGCACACTCTGCGTCCTCGGAGAAACTCCACCCCAGCCGACGTCCCAGCACGTGCGTGCGGCTGCAGACGAGGGGACTGTTTGGGGGAGCAGGAGCCTCGGAGGGGGAGATGACTTTATAAGCCAGGAGCCAGGGGTCTGGGGCGAGGGGAGGGCCCCACACAGGGAACAGGAGCCACGGAGAGCAACCGCTCCCCTGGCCCTTTCTAGATCCCGAAGCATCTCTGCCCTATTTCATTTGACCCCCCCGTAGTCTTGAGAGGGATCATCCCCTCTGCCCCTGGAAACGGGGGCTCTAAGTGAACTGCCACACGGCCAGTAGGCGCCCCTGCTCCTGTGACATCACTCTCCCCTCTGAAGGGAAAGCAGAGATGTTATAAAGTATATGCTCCCTGGGGCGAAGGAGCTGGGCTGCAGTGACAAGTCAGTGAGAAAAAGAGCAAGGTCTGGGATGATGGGGGACATTCTCGAAAAAGTGTTAAGGGGGGCTGCGGCCAGGTGCCCCTGGAAGAGGGATGCTGAGAGGGAGGGGTGTGAGCTTGAGGAAAGGGTCCCTACCGGAGGTGGGTAGCTTCCGAGAAGGAAACCCCCTCCCGGGCCCCCCCACCCCCTGCTTCCGGCGATGGCGCCCCGACGGGTTTGGGCCCCTGGGCGGCGGCCGAGGGGTCCGTCCTGTGCACTTCCCGGGCCGGGCACCCGAGGGCGCCAGAGCACCGCCCGGGCGGTGGCTGCGGGCGCGGCCCCGGGGACCCAGGCGCCGGCGCGGGGGACTCGCGCCCAGGTGCCTCGGCTCCCACGCCTGTCACCGCGCCGCGACGCAGCCCCGCGCGCGTGGCAGGCCAAAGAGATTAATTTTTAAAACGTGGGTTTTTTGGCATCACGTAGTGATAGTCTGCAGTAAAACTGAAAACGCAGGTAAGTCAAAAGCAGGGGAGAAAGTCATCCCTTTGCAGTCACCCCGAGACAGCCACTGATGGGTTTCTTCGCAGACGTCGTCCCCGAACACATGCTTTACACAGTTAAGATCTCACTGCGGCTTAAATTTTGATTCTGCTTTTCAGTTCACATGCGTGAGCCCTTTCCCAGGTTCTTTCTAAGTTTATAAACATGATTTTTAAATAACATGGATTCTTTCTCCACTGGCCCATGTAAGTGATACTTGGTCGTCCCAGAGTGGGGAGAAAAGGGGAGAGAGGCCCACCCTCCTTATCGGCACTTTCACTACTGCCCCACGGCCACCGTCAACAGTTGCGGGGGGAGGCCTCCCACCGTTTTCTGTGCAGTTTCGATTTTCAAATACGTCCATACGTCTGCCATGTTCCGCGGCTTGTTGCAAATGACGTTTCCTGGGACAGACATCTGCCCAGGCATCTCTGGGCATTTCCACGAAGTCAACTCCAGGAACAGGACTGGCTGCGTCAGGGCTGTGTACGTCGCAAAAGCTGTTGATGATGTTGCCAACCACCTTCCAGAGAGACTAGACTTCCTGTCCTGACCTGCTGCTGAGCTCACTTCTCCGCGAGTGGCTCCTGACCACCAAGCTTTTGCTGGTTTTAATCCTCGCCAACTTGATAGGAAAGTGATTACACGTCATTGTTTCCCAACTGCGTTTCTTTGAAAAGAAATTGAAATCAGTCGGTTGAGCGTCCGACTTCAGCTCAGGTCACGATCTCACGGTTTGTGGGTTCGAGCCCCGCGTCGGGCTCTGTGCGGACAGCTCGGAGCCTGGAGCCTACCTCGGGTTCTGCGTCTCCCTCTCTCTCTGCTCCTGTCCCGCTCGCATTCTGTCTCTCTCTCAAAAATGAATAAACAGTAAAAAATATACTTTTTAAAAAAGAAGTTGAGGGGCGCCTGGGTGGCGCAGTCGGTTGAGCGTCCGACTTCAGCCAGGTCGCGATCTCGCGATCTCGCGGGATCTCGTGATCTCGCGGTCCGTGGGTTCGAGCCCCGCGTCGGGCTCTGGGCTGATGGCTCAGAGCCTGGAGCCTGTTTCCGATTCTGTGTCTCCCTCTCTCTCTGTCTCTCTGCCCCTCCCCCGTTCATGCTCTGTCTCTCTCTGTCGCAAAAATAAATGTTGAAAAAAAATTTTTTTAAATAAAAAAGAAGTTGAAATTGTTTTTCATTCGTGTACAATGGTTATTTGCATTTCTTCTGGTGCGAATAAGGTTTCTATCCTTTGCTCATTTTTTTATTGGGAAGATTATCTTTTTCATATTGGTTCTTAAGATCAGGGGAGAAAGCCCTCTTGACTTTATCTATAGGTATTAAACCATATTTTTTGCAAATATTTTATAAAGGATGTTTATCATATAGAAATACTTAAAAATGGCTAAGTGTATATGTAACACCTCATTTCACAATCGTCTCTGGGTATTTGAATTTGTTCTCACTTCTGTGATTATAAATAATGGGGCAGAGACTACCTTTTAAGTATTCCAGGTAATTTCTTACAGTGGAGTTTGGGTGGTTCCCCTTCTGACTAGGCCGACTTTAAAGTCATGACCACACATCCCTAGCGTTGCCCCCTGCCCCTCCTGTCCCTAGCCCCGTCACCCCCTTTCTCCAGATGACCGCATCACACCTCCTCCTGTCTCATTCCCCTCCTCACGCTCAGCTGCCGACCCGTTTCTGGCTTCATTCCAGAGACGCTGCTGTCGCTGACGTCCATGTGCCCTGCATGTGGCTGGCCCACTGGTCCCTGCTCAGTCCCCACCTTCCTTGACCTTGCTGGTCACGGACGATGACTCTGGTCCCTCTCAGCCCACACTGCTGGGTCTTCCTCTTCTCCCCCACCTCTGACAGACCGAGTGCCCGGACCCGACCCCTCTCTGGCTACACTGGGGCCTGGAGACATCTCCTCCGGGCTCACGGCCTTCGACACCATCCGCACACTCTGACTCCCAGGTTGACACCTTCAACTCATTCCTTTGCCCTGAACCCCAAACCTGATGCTTGTCCAAGTTGGCATGTCCGGAGCGGATAGCCTGACTGCCACCCACCCCCGACCTGCTCTGCCTGTCGTCTTCCCCGGGGCACCTGCTGACTGTCCTTCTCCCCAGCTGCTCAGGCTGGAGTCCACCCGTAACTCCTCAAGCCCTCTCGAGCCCCACACTCAGTCCATCGGCACGTTCCGTCACCTCCGTCTTTAGCATGGATCTGGAATCCAGTTCATTCTACACCCCCCGCCCTGCCTCCACCTCTTGTCGGGACTGTGGCAGTCCCTCCTAGCTGGTCTCCTGCCCCCGCCCCCCACGCGTTGCTCTCCATGCAGGGGCAGAGTGACCCTTTGCCGCTCCGGCCACTCCTCTGCTCAAAACTCTCCAGAGCCTTCCCAAAGCAGTGAGAGGCCAGACAGCAGGCACGAACGCCGTGTGAAGCCCTGCGTGACAACCTGGGGGACAGCGCGTCCCTCACCAGCCCCTCAGGCCGCACTGACCGCCTTGGTGTTCCTGGGACCCCCCAAGCGCCTGCCCGCCTTGAGTGCTTCCCCAGCCTGGACCACTTTTCCCATCAAATACTGCGCGCCTGTCCCTGCACTTAGCACCACCAGACGTATCTCATTTCTGTATCTCCTCATGTTCTGTCCTCCACCCCAGACAGGCGTTTTCATGTTTTATTCACGCTGACCCCCCAGCACCTAGCGCAGGGCCTGACCCCAGAGCAGGTACTTGGTCAGTACCCGTAAGTGCAGGAATGGGACCGCTCAGCGTGAGCACTTCCTGCAGAGCCACGCTGGGCGGGCGGGGGTGGGTTGGGGGCTAGTCCTCGCTTTGGGTGAAGCACCCCGAAGCCAGCGAGGAGACAGGGTCGGCCACAAAGTCACCCAGCTTGCTGGTGGTGGGGCGCGGGGCTCCTGACTCCCACAAAACACGGTGGCAACTCAGAACACTGTGGGGACACCAGAGGGCTTTCTGGATGAAGGGGTTCTTTTGGGGGGGGCAGGGAAGGACAGGAAGAGTTTTATGGGGGCGGGGGGCCTGGCTGGCTCAGAGGAGCCTGCGACCCTTGATCTCGGGGTCGTGAGTTCGAGCCCCACGTTGGGTGTAGAGATGACTTTCAGAATATTCTATCAGGTAGAAATGGAAGGAAAGGACCTGCGCTGCAGGTCGCAGATTTAGCGTTCCCTGAAGCTGGGGGAAAGGCGGGGCCCAGGAGGACTGGGGCAGAGCCTTCTCACACTCCAGAGACTGAAATTCATGCTGCGGACACTGGGGGGCCGGGGCTGAAAACTGGCTGCTGGCTTTCCGTCTCCATTTCTGTCTCCCTCTGCTGAACGTTTCTCTGGCTGCCCGGCCCCTCCGTGGCCACAAGTAACCCACCAAGTCATTTGCTGTTTCGCGGTCCCCGCCCTAACAACCCACAGGCTAGGACCCTGCGTCCTCAGCGCCCTCGGAGCCCCTCATCCCACAGCCAGAGGGGCAGACGGGCAAGACTCGGAGGGGGGTTGGGAGGGGAGGGTGCCTCCTGTCCCCAGCCCCCTGCAGTGACCTTGAGGTGCTGGCCTCCCCTCCCCCCCTCCCCCGCCCGCCTCTGGGGCCAGGCCTCAGGCCCTTACAATCCTTGGGCCAGATCTTCGCGCTTAGTACCAGTCCGTGCCAGCTGGCAGCTCTCACCGGAGACTGAGGTGGCACGAATATGGGGGAGGGGGAGGAAGTGGGCAGGGGCCCAAGGGGAATAGGGGCCAGGATCCGAGGGGGTGGCAGTCAGAAGCTGGGTGGCCGCCGTGGGGGTCACATGGGATGAGGGAACGGCTAGACTGAGGAGTTGGAGGGCTTCCGGGCCCTGGAGGGGGTGTCAGCACCCCCGCTCTGGTCCTCCTGCCCCTGACAGGTCTAATCGTCTCCCCGCCACCCACTTTCCTCTACACCCACCCCCTGAAGCTGTCCCTAGCTAATTCGTCTTGGTTCCTTTAAGAGCTGCCTGGGAACTGGGGCACTGGAGGGGGCTGGCGGGGGGGGGGGGGCCCACCCCCTCCCCCTGCCAAGCCCGCCTCTGCTCCGCCCCCTGCCCTGGCCGGACTCTGCTGGAAGTCTTGGACGCCTGGGTTAGGGTCTCCACTGCTGGGCTGGGGGTAAGGCCGGGAAGTGGTGGGGAAGGGGGACCGTGGTCCCTGGGGGAGGGGGAGGGGAGGGGGGGATGCCAGTTTCCTCATACCCCAGGTGTCTGTGCCAATTTCAGTGGACAACACAGGGGGTCCTTCTGGGTGGTCCTCGGCCTCGGACTGGGGGAAGGGCAGCTCCGGGGATCTGGAGGGGCAGGGACCGCGGGGCAGGGCGCCTGTGGCTCCTCACCCTCCACTCCCCTGTTTTGTCTTCCTGGGACTCTCCTTTGATCAACTCCATCAGCTACTCGCTGCCCTTCCTGCAATTAAAGACGTGGGGCCCTGACAGGTGGGGAAACTGAGGCCAGGCCAGCCACAGGAAAGGGAAGTGTATGAGCAGGTGCAGGGGAAGTGGAGATTAGGCTGCAGAAAGCCTCTCCCTCCTCCCCCACCTGGAACAAGAAGATACAGGGCACTGGGTGTCCAGCTCGACCCCGGCACATTTCTAGCCGCAGCCACAGCCGCTGCCCGAGACTGGGTCCCTGCTGCCTCACAGGACGTCTGGGCTCCTTCCTGGAAGCCCTGATTCCATACATCGAGGCTGGGAGAGGCTCCCCAAAGCTCACCCGGGTAACCCTGGATGCGGGCGAAGCTTGCAGGCTCCCTCTACCTTGCTCCCTTGGAGTATTTCAGAGATGTGGCCCTTACAGTTCTGTTCAGAGACTGCACCCAATTCCCCTGGAAGGAGGGAAGGAGAGGGGAAGGACCCAGGACACTCCCCGGCGGGCGGGAAGTCCTTCTATAGTCTTACCTTCTTCTTCCCTGTTCCACCGCCAGCCCAGTTCCCTCTGGGCCTGGCCACCCGGATTTCCAATCGGTTCTTCCCCCCGCTACCACAGCCCCGTCCAGCGGGAGAGGAGCCTGCGGGCGCCCTCCGAAGCCCCGAGGCCTGGGTGCTGTCGGCAGTGAAGAGATGGTGGCGGTGGGGGTGGTGACAGAGCTCCGCTCAGAGCCCACTTCTGCTTTTGGCCCAGGCCTTGTCCTCGCCACCCCACTCCAGACGGAAACGCTCACCCGCCACCCCGACCCAGACCTGAAAGGGAACCAGGCTTGGCCTCTGAACCCCTGAGCCTGGGGCTGGTCCCAGCACACTTACTTCCTTCTTAAAAATACTATGACGTCTCGAAATGAGCTGAGCTGCTCCCAGGTAGGCTGGAATCAGAGAGGACAAGCAAGCTGCCCAGGGTCACACCACAAGTTACAGGCAGCCGTGCCTGGGACCCAGGCCTTCTGCGCCCTGGCCCCGGGCTGTCTGTTTCCCAGTCTTCCCACAGGCCGAGAGAGGGGCCAACCCCGAAGGGGCTTTTCCACCTCCTCCTGTTAGCAATGAGAAAGCTGAGGTGCAGCGGGGGACAGGAGGGCGCTCTGCTGAGTAGGTGCTCAGGGTCAGGGCTGGGAGAGGACACAGGCCCAGCTTCAACACTGGCCCCAGAGCCCCTGCTTGCTCCTTCGTAGCTGGGGAACAATAATAGCTCAGCCTGTCTCTGTTTTATCCCTATCTGGCCTCGACCTTTGGAAAGTCCCTTCTGAAGTCTGCCCTCATGCTTCCTCTTAGAGCATAAGACTTCTCCTAACAGGTCTCAGGGGGTTGGCCAAAGAAGGCTTCTGGCCCAGCGGCTTGGGAAGAAATGGCAGAACCTGAACCCGGAAGCCAGGATAGTGAGGATGGAAGAGGGCCTCTTAGCCTGCTTGACGGAGCCCCTGTCCCTCGGCCTGTTTGCACAGATCTCTGTATGTGCACTCGCCTCCTCCTTGGCAAACTCAGTTTGCACGGGGTCCGGCCAGCTGGCATCCAGTTATGACCCCCTGTCCCCGTGCATATACACAGTTCCCAGGGAAGAGGGAAACCCTGAGAAATTGACCATAAAAGAATTGGCCCCACGTGACCCCCGAACCCAGCCAGGGGACATCTACGAGGTGGTGCCTGCCTGACAGGGGGAGAGGGAGCTGAGCAAGGACCCCCAGGGGCTCCCCCCATATCTGGAGTCCCACCTCCCCCACACTGTGGATCCACGAGCAGCAGAAGGTGGGGCGCAGGGGGACACGGGTAGGAGGAGGAAGAATATGGGGAGATTCTAGTCCCTCCCACTTAGAGATGCGGTCGCCATGGTGACTGAGGACCAGTGAGGCGGGATGGGGTTGGGGATGGGGGGCGGGGGTGTGGCACGGACGAAGGCACTGGGAGACAGGAACTGCCTGGCATTCCAGGGGGAGGCAAGCTCGGTGCATCCCCAAGCTCCAGGTAAGGGAGCCAGAGGGCTGAAGGGTGGGGGGGGGGGGGGGGCGGGCCATTGTCTGGTGCTGGCTCTGCCTTGAGAAGGGGGCAGACAGAGGGGTCGGGCCATTGTGTGCGGCACTCAGCTCAGCCTTCCAGCTCAGATCCAGGAGGCCTAGGAGGCCCCGGGGAAAGGGTTGGGGGGATTGGGCTTGGCGGGTGGTGAGAATGCTGAGAGACAGTGTGGGTGGGAAGAGGTGCGGGGATGCCGGGGGAGTAGAGGCTAAGGAAGCGCCTCGCACACCGTAGGCACCTAAATATAAGTTGACTGGATCATAAAAACAGGGCAAGACGGTGCAGGGCAGGTAGGGCTGAGGAAGAGGAGCCAGGAAGCAGATGTACCCCAGGACCGTGCTCTTCTAGGGCTACCCCTGAGGCCGGGAGGGAGAGGGGGTAAGGGGAGCTAGACCTGGTCGTTGATGAAGCCCGGAGTGGCTTTTCTCCCAGCTCCTGGAGCCCCTTCCAGGGAGGTGTCCATGTTGCCAGGAGCCCCAAAGGGACAGAGTTCCCCAGAGTTCTGTGGGCGAGCAGAGGGTAGGGGTGGAGAGGGGCGAGCACAGGGTAGGGGTGGAGAGGGGCGAGCACAGGGTAGGGGTGGAGAGGGGCGAGCACAGGGCAGGGGTGGAGAGGGGTGAGCACAGGGTAGGGGTGGAGAGGGGTGAGCACAGGGTAGGGTGTGTGTGTTGAGTGAACACAGGGTAGGGATGAAGGGAGGTGAGCATGGTGTAGGGGTGCAGGTGGGGAGAGCACAGGGTAGGGGTGGAGGGGTGTGAGCACGGGGTAGGGGTGGAGAGGGGTGAGCACAGGGTAGGGGTGGAGAGGGGTGAGCACAGGGTAGGGGTGGAGAGGGGTGAGCACAGGGTAAGGGTGGAGAGGCGTGAGCACAGGGTAAGGGTGGAGAGGGGTGAGCACAGGGTAGTGGTGGAGAGGGGTGAGCACAGGGTAGGGTGTGTGTGTGGAGTGAACACAGGGTAGGGATGAAGGGAGGTGAGCATGGTGTAGGGGTGCAGGTGGGGAGAGCACAGGGTAGGGGTGGAGGGGTGTGAGCATGGGGTAGGGGTGGAGAGGGGCGAGCATGGGGTAGGGTGCAGGTGGGGTGAGCATAGGGTAGGATGCAGGGGAGATGAACATAAGGTAGGGGTGCAGGGGAGTGAGCACGGGGTAGGGGTGGAGGGGGGATGAGCGTGGGGTAGAGTTAGGGGGGGATGAGCATAGTGTAGGGGGTGGGGGGTGAGCATAGGGTAGGGGGCAGGGGAGTGAGCATGGAGTAGGGGTGGAGGGGGGATGAGCATAGGGTAGGGATGCAGGGGATTGAACATAGGGTAGGGGTGGAGGTGGGTGAGTGCAGGGTAGGGGTGTAGGTGGGGAGAGTAGGGGTGCAGGGAAGTTTGCATGGGGGAGGCGTGGAGAGAGGTGAGCATAGGGTAGGGTTCAGGGGGGTAATTACAGGGTGTGGGTGGAGGGGGGATGAGCATGGGGTAGGGGGCAGGGGGATGAGCATAGGGCAGGATACAGGGGAGTGAGTACAGGGTTGAGGTGCAGGGGGCTGAGCACAGGGTAGAGGGCCGGGGGATGAGCAT